AAGGAGACCCGACGAATCTTAAAATTTTTTACGAACTTCGACAAGTATCATGGCGCGAATAAAAAATTGCAAATGCAGTTTACTGCTTTCAAAAGAGTGAATCTTTACCTTCAATTTGCATTTTTGTTGAGCGTTGTACGATTTTTTTTCACCGAGTTATTCAACATTGAAGCAAAAAGGAACCTTTTTTTCCTTTAATGTTGAATAACTCGGTGAAAACAATCGTACAACGCTAAAAAAAAAGCAAATTGAAGGTAACGATTCACTCTTTCGAAAGCTGTAAACTGCATTTGCAATTTTTTATTCGCGCCATGGAACTTGTCGAAATTCGTAACAAATTTTGAGATTCGTCGGGTCTCCTTTTCTATCCGTGTAATTCCATGAAAGATCAGTAGGATCGTTTTCTTAAGTATCGATTTGGAAAGTAGAGATTTCAAGCTGTAAAATGCTTTTTTGAACATCTCGATACGATCATTTTTGACGAAGTTGCTCTATCTTGAAGTTTGCCTATTTTTAGAGGATAGAACAGGTGATCCTTTAATTTTTTGGACCAGTATATATATTGAAAGTAAATACTGCCATTCTCCGACGTTACAGGAAAACCGATCATTAACGAAGCAAATTAATAATACAATACAGTTTGCTTTTATTACGATGTATATTTCAAGTTTTGAGCAAAAAAAAACGTGAGGGTAAGGGCATATCTCTGCGATATAATATCAAAATGTCAAACGTCGTGGGAAGAAAGGAAAAGTTTTCCGTCTCTTAGACAGTGAGCGATTAATCTTCTCCCGAAGGACGTCACTTTCAGAAACGATATAAAAATATTACTTGTCAAGGCGATGACTTATCGCACGTGTGGTCGACCCGATTCTACGCGGTGGGATTAAATTGCGAGCGCAATAAGCGCGATTCGTAATACCCATATATGTGTACAGGAGTGAGGAGGGGGGGGGGAGTGAGGTACGAGGAAACCCTTTCGCGGCGAAGCTACATATTTTAGAAAGGACCCCGCCGCGCCTCCCTCGTGTCGTCGCGCGGTGATTAATCTTCCGGCGTAAGTTGTCATTCGAAAAACGATGAAAATATCACTTGTCGACAGGTGAAGTATAGTCGACCGGTCGGCGAACGACTTGCGCAAGCACTGTCGCGCTGATATATTTTCCTCGCCGCGCGTTATCGAAATCGGACTGGACGATATGGCGCGCAGTTATTTTTCTTACCTCGCGTGTTGCGTTATTTTTCTTACCTCCCCGACTGGGGGTCAGAGCCGGGCGGAATGTTGCACGAGAGCCCTCCATATCTTGGGAGGAGGGAGGGGGAGAGGTTTGAAAATTATTTGCGCTTCGCATATACCGTATCTCCTCCACATTTTTCAAATTGCTACTCCAAAATGGGATTGCAATCTACATACGTGTTATTCAGGCGGTATCTGTTTTTCAGGCAAAGAAAACGAGGAGAACGGATGCTGTGCCCGTGCATGATGGTTTATTATGGAGATTGTTCATAAAGATTCGCGCGCCTCAAAATCTCGACCGCGCGCGAACTTTTCTAACGAAGCGCGTTGCGTTTACAATTTTGAATTGGCTCGTAAATTACTGAGCGAACAAAGTTTGCTGTGCACTTCCGCCCCGGTGCATTTCCGCACCTCACGCGAGAGATGCTACATGCTGCCTTTTTCACCCGCTGCATGGCCTCGTTAATGTCGAGATATAAATTAACGTCGGGGCAAATTCCCCGACAAGTCACCCGAATCTTCACGGGTTGATAATTAACCGGGGAGATCTTCGTCTATTCCGTGGGCATTCGCGAAATTCCTTTCTCCTTTCCGCAGGAAACAACTAATTTGTGTTATCAAAATTACGGATGCATTTAGCGCGCGTAAAACCAAATCTTCGCGCGCGCGTCGACGTGGCGTCAAAAAAATTATACTAATGAGGCGCTTTGTGAGCCTGCGACGAGCGACGAGCTTGAAAAAAAAAAGAAGAAATGTGAAAATGACGGAGAAAGAGGAGCCGGGAGGGAACGGGATATTTCCTTTCCTGCGCGCGAACCGACAGGATGAAGAGAATCTCTGTTCGTTAACGAGCCGCTACTCTGCGTTCGTTAACTTTCAACAAGACGAAGACTCTAGTCGTATACATATATACATCCGTCACTTTGCCAGCTCCTTCTCTTGTAACAATCTCCAGTTTGCGCCAATTTGCAATTATACCCGTATTCTGCTTAATTTGTTATTCAATTCGCTCCGTTTACCGACCATGTACTGGAGCGATTTAGTAAATCTTTCCCAAATGGTACAAATTTGTTAATCGTATCGCAAATATATATCGCAAGAGATTATAAATAGAACTGACGTTTTGGGGAATTGTGAAAAAGGTTCCTCTCTCGACAGAATAGGTGATTAATTCCAAAATAATTAAAATCAATTAAAATAAATTTGGAATACAACCTGTTCAACAACGAAGAAGAATCTTTTTCACAACTGCCCAAAGCATTAGTTCTGTTCAGTAACTTGTAATTCCCTGCTACATGTTTACAATATGATTATAATGATTCCAATAATTAATTAAAATTAATTTATAAAAATTGTTGTTTTTTAGAAAAAAATCTTTTCTTATTAGTTTTTTAATCTATATATGATCTCAAAAATATGTAAAGAAAAATTTTATTTTGTAAAATTCGGAAAATTGACAAAGTTACAACGGATAATCTAAACGAGCAGGTCGTAAGCGCGTTTTTTTCAATACTCGTATATACTATTTTGCCAGATTTGCACAAACTCGGCCACATTTTATATTTCTTTATAAAAATTTATATATAGATATTTTTTAATATCATTCTCTATAATCTCTCTACTTTTTTAAATTTTTATTTTAATTTTTTATAAAATAAAAAAGAGAATTTCAATAAAAAATGTGTTTAATAAAAAATTACTTTTTTCAACTGATCCAAAAATACAATTGTTTAAAAAATATTGTTTAAAAATACAATAAGAAATCTAGAGTAATCTCTAGAATAATTAAAGAAATACATATAAATTACACTCTCTTCCAGAGTCTCTTCAAGAATCTCTCGAAAAGACTAAACTATAGCGCTATTTTATAAGAAATTTTGTTGATTCTTCGGATCAGAATTATGCAATACCATAGAGGTGCGCAATGAATGCTATGACATCATTTCTGCACAAAAAAAATAAATTTTCTTTGTATTAAACGTAACTGTTATATATAAGCAAAAATATATATAATTTAAATATATTTATTTAGTAATTTTTTAAATAAATTCTTGAATATTGTTTTTTTTTACTTGAAAAGGTAATTTATTCCTTTAAGTTGTTATATAATTGTTAAATCTATAATGTCAAACTGAATTATATTTAAGTCACCACTGCTCTTACTTAATAAATAATTCTTTTTTACTAAAACAATGGAATTAAATAATTTAAAATAATTCCCAAATTTGGATTAAATTTCATTGTTTTATTTAAAAATAACTATATTGTTTTAGTTAAAAATAACTATTTATTAAGTAGGAGCAGTGGCGACTTAAATAAAGGTTCAGTTCGACACTGTAGATTTAACAGTGTATAAAAAAAACGAAATTCCTCTTTTTTTTTAATCTTTTAACGCTTCTCAAGTAATAATTTAATTTCGCTTTCCACCATACCAGTGAAAACATTTTACTGGACCGACAAGGTATAAAATTCTCTGTCTAATTCCTGCCGCTATTGTTCGATCGAGAGTTACTAGCTGGATGTGGAATTGAAGTACGGGCCAATTTACACAGGCGGTCGTGCCAGAGAACGAAAAGACAAATCGCGCGCGTAATTCCCCCGCTGTCGTTCGTTTAAAACGCGAAACTTAATAAAGCGACGTGGCGTGTCAAATGCTGTTACTGTCAAACCCGCGTGCACGGCAGCTTCGTGGCAGTTCGAACGGGGAACACGTGTGGTACATCGGCAAAATAAACCGCAATTGTTCGTCGGGATCACACGGATATATAATTACATGAATTATCCCGGATTCTATAACAAGCAATCGCGGCTCTACGGGAGTATCTTGTAATATGACGGTTACACTTTGCATTGGCCAATTTCGATAGCAAAGCGAGGAAAACTCCTCGTCGGAAAATTTCATTTACATTTTCCATGAAACGCAGAAAAGGAAAGAAGACCGTATGGGTAATGCCAGATTATAGCCAAATATCTGTCCGTTTATGCGGCGGACCAATAAAATAGAAACGTCCGTGAAACGTTTGGCATAACGCGAATATGCCAATAAAAGCTCGGCAACGTGGAACGTGGAAAAGTTGCTTCGGGGTCACCGCGATCACGAAGCGCATATCTCACGTTCAGAAGACTGAAAATGCAAGCGTGAGGATGTACGATGAGATTTCGCGAGACGTTATTTCAAATCTCGAACATACAGACAAGTTGACCACGATCGTCGACTGTCGTTTATCATCAACGATGACGTTCGCCATGTTTGCACGAAAACAAGTGGCTTAATTTCTAGAGATGTTGTGTACGTTTAATTTTAATGTTTCATTATTCATCAAATTACATAAAATATGACCATTAAAAATATAATTTTGTACTAATTTTGGGAGTAAATTCTAACTTAATTATGATTACTAATTTAGAAGTATTTAATATTCCACATGATAAATTACGTAAAGTTAATGTAAATAATTCGTGGCTGAGAACATGAGGTGATATTTATTTGCAATAAATTTCTT